GATTAGGCGGACCGCTAAAACGATACAAACCCATCTGGATTTGATTGATTTAATCAAGTGGAACCCGAAATTGTGTAGAACGAATCACTTGCAACGTAATCCTTTAATTTCATGCCAAAATGCATCGAAGTGCATGTCGACAGTGGGCTATAGCGAGTATTTGCATCCATTTTAATCATGCCAATTTCCTGAAACGCTGCAGAATAATTGACAACGGTCACGGATAAAGCTAGGAACAATTGAAATGGCTATCTCAAGTACGGCTTCCAGTGTCTGCGAGCCATGCGGCAACTTCAGGCGATGCTTCCCACTACCTGAGCCTTAGACTCGAGTCCTGTCGGTTGAGACCGAGCCAGTCAGAAAAAAGCAGAAAACAGTCAATATAATTTCCTTTGCCTATCTCGGTAACACCGTTTTATCTATGCTTCAAATTGGACACCGGCAAATGTATGGTTTACGGCCAGAATTACTTATTCCGGGGAGCAATTGTGCCAAAAAACTAACGATGTTTATTTGTAGTTGCCAGAGAATGGAATAAAAGACCTCGCGGTGGCGTTTGCGTGGGAATGGTCAAGATGCTTTAAAGTAGTCATCAGAGTAGAAGTGCGTCAATGTTATACCTTTTTGACAATGCATTCAAAGGGGAATTAAATCAGTTTACTAATATCATTGAATGGTAGATTAGTGTTGCCTTTTATCTGGTGACAGTATGTGGGATCAAAATTTGTGATATCAGAAAGTTCTTGGGTGTTTAGCTCTTTTGCTCAACGCGAACGCCTCCCGGAGTAAGTTACCCCGGCCACAAACCATACCATTGCCTGGACGCCAACCTACGACAATGCTCTTGACAATCCGTAGTTGACTATGCTGGAGACTCGATACGTCTGGCTTCCCTAGCTTGCCCCAACATTTCAGAGGCGGACAGTGACGGTATAATACTCCGTGTGTTTATCACAGCTCTCCAAGACTGCATGACTACCTACATCCTCCTCCACCACCCACCCCCTGCCAGCTTATCTGCGACCGTTCAGCAATTTCGGTTATACGAAGTATACGATTCCAAAACTAACTCCTCATCATCTTACAAATACAAAGCCCCCCACAGCCCAACTCCACTACCCCCACGCCCCAGTAACCCTTCCACTCTCACAATTCGCTTTAGTGAACACAGCGTCGGATGTTCATACTGCTCTGTATTCGGTTTTCATGCCAGGCGATGTGGGCACAACCAACCAACTATGTGAACTCCCATTCACCTCAGCCGAACTATTTACCTGGACATTGGGCACAATTGGTATTAAGCACAAAGTTGAACACGCCATTAAAACGAGTGACGCCAAGAGGATATGGCAACCACCACGACGGATGTCCATGTGCAACCAGGGGGGTGTCGGCAAGATTCCGGGCGAATTCCCGAAGGCCCGCATAATCTAGCCATTCTCCCCCCTTTGGACATCGCTCATAGTCCTGGTACCCAAGAAGGATGGCTCCTTGCGACGCAAAATTGTCTACCACCGTCTAAAGGCTGTCACAGCTCGCTACTCAGTCCCCCTAAACACCCAGTCTGTTTCGTCAGCAAAAATCGGACTAAGACACAACGGAACTAACGTGCATTCCGCATAGGGTTATTGGCGATCATCGCGTTAATCCGCTGTCTTATCGGACGCAGCTTTATCATTTGTACCGACCATCGAGCGCAACCATTGTTACAATTCATCGACCTACCCACGGATAAACTATTTCAGTGGCAAGAATTTCTGCAGGACTTTGACCTCGAGTGCCAGTTTTGATCAAGTCCTAAACACGGTGTGCCGGCGCCCAATATATCGTCAACCGATGCACACAATCACACTGCATCGCTCAACGCAATCACGATGTCTAACCTCACCCTCCATACTTGGTGAACCATCCAACATACCGACCCTGACACCGCTACTATATACGGCCACCTGACACAGAACCTCAACAAACCTCTGGAAACCGATATGGAAGAATCTAAGCGGGCACGCACGCCTCTTCCTGCATCAGTGGCCCCACTTTCTCATCGACAACGATATCTTGTTCCTCTGAGACCCGTCATCACATCACCTATGTCCATTACTTCCGGGATACCTGGTCGAATGCGCGATGTTAGACCTGCACTCGAAATTGTGGCTAGCGGTGCACGGAGCGGGCTGCACGCGCACGCTTCTGGTGGCCCCAACTGCGCTCATTCATCCTCCACTTCTGCCAGCCCTGTGATATGTGCACATATTTGAAATCGCCCACTCCTTCCCCGCTTGCACGCACACAATCCATGATTACCCTCTTCCTTGGTGACGCGCTGGAGTAGATATCCTTAGCTCCCTGCCGATCTCGGTCAGAGGATACGAATATGTCCTTACAATTTTTGAGTATTTCACAAAATGACTCGAGATAGTACGCCTACTCCCCTGAGACGCCATTTACGTTGCTAACGTCGTCAAACGGAATTGGTTCGGCGTTGGGGCACTCCCTTCTACCAGGAAGAATGTAATCTTCCAGACATCAATGAGACCAGTACGACACCCAACCACGTCAAATCGAACAGCACAGTTAGCAATATCCTTCTCGTCTTCACCAAGGACAACCACAAAGACGATTGGGATGTCCAGTTACCCTTCTGCCTTTTGGCATATGGGGGTTCCATTCATTCTTCAGCCGAGTTTACAGCCCATTACTTCTGGACAAGCCTGGGGTTTCATCCCCGCCCAACAGACCCACAGTATCCCTTGAATTCACCTCAACCTCATTACCATCACTACTTACGCCTCCCAAATCCGCCAGAAAATACATAGCACGCATAACGCGACATGCGAGTCGGTCGGCACAGTAACCTCCCATCAAAAAATACATAGAGCGATCGACACTGGACCAGCACTACGTCGCGAGTTGGTGATCTATTCATGCATCATTATCCCATATCACCTCGCGGGGTGTCAGCCAGATTTTGCAACTCTTGGCAACGCCCTTTCATCATCCTGGATACCTTATGCCCTACGAATTATCTCCTACATGACAAGCTCCACCTAGTAGTGAACTACTCCATATAGACAGTCTTAGCGTTGAATAGAGAGGCCAAATCACTGCTTTTGTTGAAGATATGCGGGCGGTGTGTGGAGAGAAGCACATTCAAGGCTGCCATCCGGGCGTGACTGAAACCTCTAGAGATGGTGCTGCCGGTTAGTCAATATTACAATCGCACCTAAATAATCCTTTCTGGTCGGAAGCACATTTCGAAATTTCTGGCAACATTTGACGATGTACGCGACCTACTCTGTATCCTCTAAATGCTGCAATCATTGGGCGTCAGTTGCCTTCATCTGTTAAGATCTGTGAGGGCAACCGTGGACCCGTGCGCGAATCAGAAATATTAGGCGGCCAAAGGTCCTGCTAAAAAGATCAGCTCCTTCGCTTCTCAACTGATTCCTGAAACTCGTTCCTTTCCGTGAAGCTGTAACTGTTTCTCGCAAGCACGGGCTGGATGTTGTTTTTTAAAAGGCGGCTATACCCAAGATGACACAGAAGCTCGTGGATTGGCAGATAACCAAGGAAGAAACTAGAAAGCCGGTTTTTATGTTAGCATATTTCACAAGATTTGGGTTGGCGTTGGTGTCTTATAGTGCGACGTAAATCAGGTCTTGGGTTTTTTGGAATTTAAGGCGGGATGTTTTATCTGGTCGCAACTTACGTAGTGATTTAGATGGAATTAGAACCTCATACGTGTTATGGCAATATGAGAGCAAATTTTCCAGCTAGTAGAGTACATTGAAGACCTTTTGCTTGCAACACACGGGTCTTGTTGCGGTTATTTGGATAACAATCTTCACAGATGATTATTTTTCGCTTTGGCAATTTTTCATATAGTAAGAGAAGAAAAGGGTAATTCTGAGCGTACCAAGTAGTTCAGTTATATTTTATTTTCCCATGCCTCAGCGCATGCCTTGGTCTGAAGAGCTCACCTTAAAAAAGAGATTAAAGGTGGCAAACAAAGGCCTGAATACAAATCGAATTTGTAAGGTACTTTCGATCAATTATACCTGCATCTTCCAGGAGATCGTGAGAACTCGTTACGATACCAAGCATCCTCCAAGAAAAAGTCGCATATATGATTGGGACTCCAAGGCTGAAAAACTCAAACCCTTTCGAATTTTTGTATTTGCGTCCACGTATGACGAACCAGTGATGGTAGTTGACTTATATATGTCAGAAGAATACCCGATAGACAGTAAAATTGAATTTTAAGGCACGAGTATAATCAGAATTTACGGCCAGTCTTGTCATTAACTCGTGATAATAATTGGAACGACTTACCAAGGAGCCGACGAAACACGTGGACATCAGGCAGTCAGGAAGAAAGCATGCTATGTGCGTTCGTTAAAGCGAGAAGATGTTTATCAAATAAATGCTTTAGAAAATCTCCTAATTTGACTTGCATACTTCATACACGTGGACTGTAAATGCTGATTAAAGGCTACAAACTGTGAACACGAAATGAAGCATGTGCATGAAAAGAACACGAACTGCAGGATATGTTTTTAAGATGAGACAATTAATTAAACTCAACCAGCTCTCCCTTTTCTCACCCGTTCAGGATAGATTTTAAAAGCAGGGTGGAGAGTTGGATAGAAGTTTATCAGACAGCGTGGTTCGAAAGGAATTCATCAATTAATCGTTGTCCTACAGGCGACTGACCCATAAATTTGTATTTTCTCGATCTCCGCTGTAAGTGTATTTCAAAAAGAAAGCGAGAGTTTTGGGCGTCAGTCAAGGATGACAACATTACCCATCGATTCGTAGGTACGCATGAAAATGTGACACCTGGGGAATAATGTCACTGAGAGACCGTAAAACGTAAATGCCAACAGTCATGCCAAAACACTCGCAAAGTTGGAAGAATTTTCTCAAGTGGAAGACAAGATGTATCAGTTTTGGACGAGTTAAAAGTATCAGACTAACCTAATCTCGTCAAAAAAGAACATTCAAGCATCTACTTTCGCCTCTGATGTGTCATCATCCAATTTGTCCTTTATATTATCTCCTGTTGTGTCCGGAATGCAGTAAAGTAGCATCACCTCCGCTAGAACAATTGAGCCGTAGATGACGACGGGAAGGCCATGCCTAAATTTCTGATCGAGTTCATTGATGAAGCTGCATATTATACTGCCCACCCGTCCCAGACCAGATGCATTGCCCAGCGCCTTGGTCCGAATGACTGCTGGGAACAGTTCAGGCACATAGATGAAGATCATGTTGAAGGTAGCACCCAACAGAACAAGAGAGAGATTGCAGGAGACAACAAGCGCCAGCTCTGAAGAGGGTTGAATGATGACTGTATAGAGGCTGCCAATGAGTAGTATGACTGCTGCTAGCGAGTAGAGAGCTACTAGTGGTTTGCGACGGCTTCGCAGGCAACTGTAGAGGATGGTAGAGAGGATGGAAGCAGGCACTGCTGTGACAGCATTGACGAAGGATATTAGGTAGATAGAACCCCGAATGACTCGGGTGTAGTAGAGAAGACCGAAGAAGCAACACAACTGTCCAGCAAATAGGCCAGTCGAGAGGATGCTTCGTTTGGCTATCTCCGCGGTCTGGTAGGGTCCGGTGACAGCCTCACATGCCTTCAAACACACTGTCTGATCACAAGGTTGAGGACACCGTCCACAGCGTTGAGTGAGGCGTTGGATCAGAGATCGTCGGCAAACCGGTGTTGGCTCGTAGTTTAGTTCCTTGGCAAACTCATCTCTGGTCATGATCGGTCGTCGCTTGCTACATAATAGATTATTGATTTTGTAGGCTCTGTAGAGTGTGGAAACAGCTTCATCTAACCGATTTTGTGAGACGAGCCACCGAGGTGATTCGGGTAGAAAGTAGAGCAAAACGACACCGAAACATGGTGGTGCGACCACAATCAGATGCAAATATCGCCAGTTATGTATGTACATGGCCGCTAAAGCATGGATAGCGCGGCTTATAAAGTTAACATAGAGGGCCCAGGGAGCGCCAAAGATTGACCTGTAGCGGGCATTGGTCATCTCGACCAAAAGTACGGTGATTGAAGTCACCTTAGTTGTGCAGCTTATTGATAGCAGGGCTCGCATGATCGT